CAGTTATTGCCTTTTAATTGTTAATTTATTTTCATTGAGGTACCTTTACCATTTTAAAAGTAAATTGCCTACGAAACTCAATTGATTTTTAATAAATTTTTAATGGCATTCCACCTTTTTTCTTAATTGGTAAATAATCTTTACATATTTACAAAAATACAAAATTGCCTTGGACTTTGATAAAAATATTTTTTTTATTGATATGTTATATCATGATTTATTTTGTTCGATTTATTATATTTTAAATAAATCAAGGAACATATGTTTATTTGCAGCTTAAAACAATATGTCTTGTCACTTTTTGTCACGTTTATTTCACTGTAGAGCAAATAAAACCTTAAAATATTTATGTGTTTTGTTAAAAATATTAAATTTAGCACACTCTCTAAAAATAAATTAGTCAAAAATGACTAATTACTACAGTTATTAGTGGCTGCTTTTTCACTTGTACCATGGTTAACCTTGGGATACTATGGTAACCCAAAATTTAACAATTCTTATGTTAAATTGTCCCCTGAATCTGAAAATACCATCAAAATTTATGAAAGTATAGCAGTTTTTGAAATATAGTCAATTCCATATAAAATGGAAAATTGAATATATCTCAAAAACTGTTCTACTTTTTTAAATTTTGACGATATTTTCGGATTCAGGGGACAATTTTACAAGGAAATTGACTGCTAAATATTCGGGATACAAATTGCTACTGACGATAATTATTAGTGGCTGCTTTTTCGCTATGACAATTAGTCATTTTTAACTAATTCATTTTTAGAGAGTAGTGATAATATATTACAAAAAAATTGTCAACAATAGTTTGTAATACTATGTTAACTGTAAAAATGTATAAAATGCAATATTGAAATATTTTAATAAAATAAATAATTAATCAAATAATAGTCCATGGAAGAAATAAATGTAATTGTTCAATTATCGTGCTGTTGTTTTTATATTTCCGCCAAAAAATCTCTTTCAGAAGATTACAAACTTTTCTATATTTGACTTTAAAATAATGCTGTTACAAATAATAACAAATCTACAGTCGAGGAAATGCTCTTTTCTATAGAGGTTTACTTTTAAAATATGGCGAAAGCGTGCATTCTACGATTGTGTTGAAAAATAATATATTTTGTATTTATCGCTGCTTGTCCCAAGCAGCGATCATTTATTTCAGCACAGACACTTTTTTGTTGAAAGCAAGAATAAATTGTGCTTTAATGCTTTTTGTAAGGACTTTTCTATTAGCAGTTACAAAAATTATTTGTTTTTAAAATTGAGACTTAAAAAATTCTAAAACTAACGAATTATTTCACTTTACTATAGCCATTTTATGTTGTTTGGGCATGGCTGAAATTAGATAAATTAAGAAAAGCTATTTAACTAAACTATTTTTAATTTAAAACATTTTTTAAAATTTCAAGCCATTAAAATCTATCAATATAATAACTGCCAAGGATCAATTACTTTTTAATTGCAAACAAATCATTATTGAAATACATGTTTTGTTGAATAATGCAAATATACGTGTGTGGGAAATATAAAATGTGTTTGAAAAATATTTAATCATCCAGGGAGCAATGTTATACCTTACGACATCTAACGGTGGGAAGTCCAACTAAGTTTCAGAAGTGAGTAGTTAATAAAGTTAGCTGTATTTTTGGCAAGTAAAAAATAAATAATTTATTGATAATGATGTTTTTTTCTCAAAATAATTTTATACATTTTGTAATAATTTCAAAAGTTTTTAAACTCTTAAATGAAAATGTAAAAAAATAACAAAAAATTAATCAAGTACTTTAACCATTGTATTCATAAATTTAGGATAAAATTACGAAATCTGTCATTAAATCTTTAATATATAAGGTAATAAGAAACTAAATTAAATTTATTCAGACTTTATTGATCTGGAAATTTAATATACTCACTGGGTTTAAGTACAAAATATTTTAGAATCAAATTAAATTTATATTTTAACACTTTACGTGCAAAGTTTATTTTAATTTAAAAATATTTTGTGGCAATATTATCCAGGTTAAAAATGCTATAAAAGGTTTTATAATAAAATGCGTTTAAAGAAAATCGGTTTGGTAAAAAAATTAAAAAGTTTGAAGAAACTTTTAGGTGAAGTAAACTATATATATATATATATTATATCCAACTAGTCTGAAAAGGTTGCAATATTAATTCATCAAAATAAACATCCCCAATATGACAATAGACAATGAGACTAAGTAATTGATAATAACATGACAGAGACTGCCCACGCGTCTAATAATGAAACCGGCCTGATAACACGTTCGCTGCATAATAATCATAGGCTTTCGATATTTAGACGATGCACAGTGTGGTATTTAGTTAGTTTTGCCGGCCAATTTAATACACCAAAAATTCTTAAGAATTTAGGAATATAAATGCTGCATTTAATGAAATTCTAAAGTGTATACACCGTATACGGTGCCAAATAAGTAATATTTTTGTGCATTTGGTCTACATATCTGGTTTTCTTCATAAAATAGTTTTAACTAAACGACTTTTATAAAAAAAATAGCTTCTCCATTATGGAAAAATAATATCTGTATAAAAGGTAGGTTACCATATTAAAACAAAAAATATCATCTAATTTTGTACTTTTAAGGTTACTAAAATCTATTTTAAACAAAATAGTATTTTGGATTATTTGAAAGGGTTTGTTAATATGGTCATATAAAAGTTTTCCATTCTTTTCTACCCTTTGAAAAACATTTTTTATCCAACCCCCAAAAAGTTTTATATTTTTAAAAAAATAGGTTTTTTATTTTCAAATATTGACCTTTGGTATTTTTTTTTTGAAATTTTTGTTTTTAAAAGAATTTTTCGAAAAATAGACAAAAAAAATTTAACATGATCAACATAAAATTATCGCTTTTTCAATAAAATCATTTTTGCAAAGTTCGCCATTTTTTATTTTTTATTTTTTTTCTTAAAAAAAACTTCAATTAATGTTACAATTATTCCCGCCAATCCCAGAGTGGGCCAATTTTTTTTAAATTTTTTGAAAAAAAAATTGTCTAATTTTCAAAAATGCAATATGTATATATTGTATATGTATCATTAATTGTATATGTATATGTATCATTAATCCTAGTCAGTATAATCGTAGCTTAAGCCTATAAATTAAGAATATAATACCTTAAAATCGTTGAATTGCATTTATTTTATTATTTTTTTTTATTATTTTGTATGTAAATAAAGTTTGTGAAAAAAACAAAAATTTAACGATGTGGCTCCCGTCCCGAGGCGGGACTTAAGTTCAGTCCCGATTGACGTCACACACTGTAAATCGGTTTTTATTCCCCGAGATTTTATAATTTGTGTCAAGCTCGATGGCTTAGATGGTAGGGCGGTCGCTTGGCATGCGAGAGGTACCGGGTTCGATCCCACTAGAAGTTGTCAAACTTTTTTTATTTTTTTTATTTTATAAATTTGTTGTTTCTTTGTTAAAAAGTGTTTTATTTTTATCGTAACATAAATTTGCCCATTTTAGTTGGGTTTTTTGCTCAATGGGGCGGGGGGGGCCCAATGGGGCGGGGTCGGTTGGGTTGTGTTGTTGAGTTTGGGTTGGTTTGGTTTTATGACGTAACTAAAGTGCCCTTAACATGTATACAGGTACAATTTATTATTATTATTTTATTATAACATAACAAATCTTAAAATTATGACGTCAATCGGGACTGAACTTAAGTCCCGCCTCGGGACGGGAGCCACAGCGAAAATTTAATTTTTGAAAATTTTTTTCAATTAATTAAGCGATACATAAATATTATTTCTTTCGTTGACTATACTTTGACAGATACATAACCTGAAAAGCCTTGAATGACAAATTTTCAAAAAAAGCATTCCGTACGTACTATCTTAAAATGAAATAGTCAAAATTCTACTATTTGAATTAGTACCAGCATGTTTTACTAATAAAATAGTTGTTTTTACTTTTAAATGGTTATTTTTTTTACTACGTAAATAGTTAAAGTTTGACTAATTTAAGATTAGTCACCATCTTTGACTATTTCTGAGAGTTAAATGTAACTAATTTCTTTAATCGTTTGCGGCCAACAAGAAAGAATTATTTGAATTAAATACAAATAGGCTCCATGGTTAAATATCCCATAAAAACAAACAAAGATGCAAAAAGTTTAGCTGTTTAGCAACACAAATAATATATTTAACTTTAAAATATTATGAACAATATTTATTGACAAATAAAATTGATGTCAATCTCCGGTTCGGCCAAAACTTTTTAAAATTTAAATCTACTAATTTGACTACCATTTTGACTAATTCATTTTAAAAGAGTGGTCACGTGATGGGACTATTTTTTTGATATACTTATATTTATAGCATTTATCCTAATCTAACCATGATTTTTTGTTTTATTTTTACAAATTTAACACTGTTCATATGTTAAGTTCTATGATTTTAAAGTGGAGGTGTCATGATAGGCATTACTGAGAAATAATAATTTTGACTTCATTGGCCAGAAGAACTACAGAATAATTATTAAAAGTAAATTTTAGTTTGAGTAAGTTCTTAAAAAAACTTTAAAAAGTCCTTTCATTACAATAAAATGTTCGAAACGTGACTTTTTATAAACAACGTTAATTTATAAGCTGGGCATAAAATAAGACACCCTTTAGAAGGTCATTTCTTCCACTTCTTCCCTTGTATAAGGCAAGCAGTTTAGACGTGACGTAGGTTGAATCCCACATCGAATTCATAAGTCAGTTAGTTAATTGTTTTGAACCCCTATAGTCGGGCCTACCATAATGATGGTAGGATACTTAATATTTGTAAATAGTATATTGTGTTGACGTTTTAGCTGTAACAAACCCACAAAACAAATACATAAAGATAAGAAATCTTAAAATTTCCATCAGAAGTACAACACGATTGGCATGCGCAAACACGGCGAGCTTTTTCAGCAGGCTTGCGTAGAATAATAAGCTGTAACTATCGATTCGAGCTCAGGGTGAAGTCGGCCACCATTTTGCCGACATTTTTCAGTAATTCTCCTCCTGAAAATAACGACGTTGTGACCGATTCATCGCCAGTGTATTTTTGAGTGATATAGGACAATGTGCACCAAATCTTGAGGACCTCTCAATCATATTAAAGACAGTGACCTGAGATGTAAGTAATCCTTTAAAAGTTTAAGCCTGAAATTATGATTTTATAAAGAGATATATTTCGTTTATAAGTATTTTTATCACTTGGAATCAATATACTTACAAAAAAATTTATCAAACCCTTTTTTTAAATTTATATTTATCTTAAAAAAAGTTTTTTATGTTATATGTTAATTTTTATTGGTTTACTGCATACAGAAGCATTTATATCAACTAAAAATGCCTTAAGTAATAGACAAATTATCTACATTTATTTGTAAACATATTTTATTGATTATTTTGCCTGGAATAAGGATCTATAAACCTCAGTGTAGTCCTGGTATTTCTAATGTAATAGCTGTAATAGGTGTACATTGAACTTTTTGTTTTCAAATGTTGGAACTTTTTAATTATTGATTTATAAGTAAATACGGTTCTTATTTTCAATTTTCCAAAAAATGTCTCAATGAAGTACATTATTGAATTTAAAAGTCACTCTACCAATAGGCGTTAGCCTATTGTTGGTTTCAAAGGGAATTTGCAGTATGTACTCTAAAAATAGACCCATTTAATTGGGCCTGCATCGCATTACTCCATGACGTTGATGCAAAAAGATATCTTCATTTAACTCTTAATGTTAAAAATGGCGAATGCGCCGGGATTAATATTGCAACTACTGAGGTAATTTGAGTTGTGAAAAAAGATTATGGTTTCAATCTCTAAAATAATATTTCATATTTTCTATTTGATATTTGATATATTATAGGTAAATTTTAATATAAAATAATAATTATATAAGTATATATTTAATAATTATTTATATAAATGGTATAATTTTAAATCGGACAACATTGTAAACTCAAATTCTGTCAATAAACACTATTACAGTTGACAGTTTCAAGCAAAGTTTGTTAAATTAAATACTTTTTTGTAAAAACGTGTAAACCCCCAATTATATGTATAAAACAGGTGTTATTATCATTATTTTATATCAAATGCTTGGTTCTTGTTAAGTTTTATATCTGATTAAGGCCTTTAATCAATAAAACGTAAAATATATACATATTACATATTTTCTTACCATTTATATTACTTTCTAAAAATAAAATAGTCAAAATTCTACTATTTGACTTAGTGTTAGTCGTTTTCACTTTTAATTTAAGATAAGTGACCATCTTTGACTGTTTCTTAGAGTAAAAAGTAACTCATTTCTTAACCTACACTTTTATTGTGTAGTTATGTAGTTATTACAGCTCAGGTAATTATTTTTTACAATGTTTTAAAAGTCTAAAACCTATCCTCCGTGACTGTTACTCTTTCTAGATATCTGAGGTAGTAAAAGCATACTAAAAATATCAGTTCACCAAGTAAATTAAACACATCCAAAGCAATCGAATCAAAAATAAAATATTATTAAAAATTAAAAGAAATAATTTTTATAACCATTTATGTAGGTGTTACAAAAATTGATTATATCCTCCGTGAATCTGTTTTATGCAACGGATGGCGCTTTAATCATTTTAAATAAGCAAAAACCTTTGTTTAGATGTGATTCCTGAAGGTCAGTTAGAATTTATATGTAGATGAGAGAGTTGGTGTTTTATAAATCAAAAATTAATTAATTTGCTATTCAAAAAACTATCCACCGTGACGTGTAATATCTCAGTAAGTAGATTTTTTTTAAAATATTTTATGTATGCACGATTGTATTTTTTTTAAATATTAAGGTGTCAAAAGATACAATAACTTATTTCAAATATACAAAGGGATGTTTTAAAAAATATATACGAAATACTAATCTCCGTGAAGCTATCTTCCGTGAAGCTCTAATATTCAAAATGTATGATTTCTTAAAATTCTTGAATTAGTGCAAAACCCCATTCTAGACTAACAGTGAAACAACCAAAAATAAAAAATAATCATTATCACTTGGGGGGCATCTCAATATATTCACCCAAATGCATATAATCTCCATGAATAAATGGCGCTTAAAAATAAACAGAGATGCAAAAAGTTTAGCTCAAAACAGCAACAACAACAAAATATTTAGCTTTAAAATATTATTAACAATATTTATAGACAAATAAAACTAATTTTGATAAAAGTGACAGTTCAAACCCTGGATGGGTCAATACTTTTTTAAATTTAAATCTACTAATTTGACTATTTCAGTCAGTAGAATTTGTTCAATTATTAGTGACTGCTTTTTCGCTATGACAATTAGTCAAACGTATAATTAGATATTTTTAACTAATTCATTTTAAGAGAGTAAATATATTTAACATAAACCTTACATTTTTAGAAGCATTTTAAATGTTTTTTCAATGTTCGTTATAAAGATTGTTTACCTTTTTAAAATTAAATAACAAGAACATCAAAGCTTTGCGTTTGCAATTTTACATTTAATTTACTCAACTTAAAGCAATAGTTAGTCATAGATTGGAACATAAAATAAGGTTTTTAAGATGCAATTTAAAAATCCATTTAACTTAAAGAATATATCCTATCTACTTAATAAAAAAGATATGCTTCTTTAAAAACGATTTGCAAAAATAAAAAAAAATTCCAGATTCTGTGGGTTTCACAGGATCTGGGAATTTTTTAAAAAGGTCAAAGGTCAAATGTCAAAGGTCAAATGTCAAAGGTCAAATGTAAAAGGTCAAAGGTCAAAAGTTATACTTTTTGCGCTTGTTGGAAATTGTTTATTAAAAAAATTTATTTTTTCCAGACCATGGCGCCCAATTTAAAACACCTCTTCAAACGGCAGGCAGTGCCTGTCCCCGAACAACCCGCCCCCACTCCGGCTGTACCGGTCCAACCGGCCGCGGCGGCGGTGCCCGTCGCGCCGGTAAACAACGCGCAACCGGAAGTACCGCAGCAGCTGCCGGAAACGCCGGAACTACCGGTACCGGCGCAGCAGCCGGAGCAAGCGGCTTTGCCCTCCCCGGAAGTCGCTCCTTCCGGCAAGATTTGGGGCAATAAGACTCTGCATCCTTCTCATGGCAGGACCACCCCCTTCCCGGAAACAGGTAGGACATTTTCCCGCGTAAAGAAAAAGGTTTGAGCGAGGGTAACTTTAAAATCAGCGAGACCAACTGTAACGTTTTTACTGTTCGTAGTGTGAATTAAAACAACCACTGGTTTATTAAAGAACTAAATGATTTATTTACTTAATTACACTAAAAACACTAAGAAACTATAAAACTAACTAACTACTAATTATTTATATATCACTACTGTTCAAGAGTCTATTTATTTGCACGTATACTTATTTATTACGTCGCGAGTACCAAAACTTGACTGACTAACGTTCAACGTTATGTGAACGTTGTGTTCTGATTTTTTCCTTATCAGTCGTTATCATTAAGGAAAACTACTGTTGTGATTGTTATATCCTTAGCCGTTAATTCGTATGCGATATTTATATTTAAAAAATCAGTGGATTACCCCTCGGGTTTGAGAGCATCCACGTCAAAAGAGGTGGGGATATTTTGCAGCGGTGACAACACGCACTATATACTATTACTTAGAATTCAAAAGTGCAATTATATTTACAGAGTACCATTTGAAAAAACAAAGTTTCAGATTTATATTTCTTTTAGTTCTCTATTACAATGAACCTCTAATAAATCCGGTGAATCACTCTGTATATTATTATTTAAAATGATCATTAGTACGGTAGTTTGTAATTTTATTATTCTATTGTTTGATAAAGATTTCGTAAATTTACAAAAATGCAGACACAAAAAAATTTGTAAAATTTATAAACATAAAAAATACAAACAAATTTAATGCACTTTTTGATCATTAATTAACTATTTTATGTTAGACATAAAAAAAGATATATGGTTGTTTACATACGAGTTTTATACACAGTGTCCCATAAGAAATGGTAAATAATTTAATAGGAATATCACAATCCACACAACAAGGTCTAATACTAAAAATCACTGCAACACTGCACAGAGTTTAACGGCGGCCATTTTTGTTGTTTACAATTCTTGTGCTTTGGGTTTGTGCTGTTTAATAATTGTTTTAAACGTTGAGTTTCTTACAGAGGCACTTGTAAGCCTCAAATAAGGCCTTTAAGTACTAAGGACAACCATTTTACCCCTCTTTTATAATAAATATACCTTATTCTATCAGGGCTGTCAAATGACAATTTGAAGGTTAATTTGTGGGTTATAATGTAATCTTAAAATTGACATTTGACAGTTTTATGACAGCCCTGATAGAATAAAGTTTATTTTTTTACAATAGATTGTTCTTAGCTCTTTAAGGCCTCTTTTAAGGCTTACTATGAGAAACACAACGTTTAAAACGATTATTAATCTGTATAAACAGAGCACAAACCCAAAGCACAAAAATTGTAAACAACAAAAATGGCCGCCGTTAAACTGTGCAGTGTTGCAGTGATTTTTTGTATTTTTAGTACGAGATAAAACAGACCTTGTTGTGTGGATTGTGAGGAATATGCTGTTCAATTATTTACAAAAAAATATTAAGAATAAGTCAAATTTTTGCAGTCCAAAAGTTTACGTTAATCAAGATACAGGGTGCTAAACCTAATTCTATTTTATTAAATTTTGTCCATAAACTAGGCAATTATTAGTCATTTTTAGCAAAATTTGGGATGTGCGAGGTATTTGATATGGCAAATTTACTGTATCTATTTTGCGTTCATAAAGACTTCATTATAACACCGCTTTTGTTGCTGTAATGAGATACTTTATCCCACCCAAAATTTTGATTTTATAGGTTGGCTATACTATATTTTGCATATTGGTTATAATATTTTTATGATTTTTCTAGTACTTACGAGACTTTTCTGGCAATAAATTTTGTTTAACACCAAAGAAAATCCTTTTTTTCTTCTTTAACAATAACAGCCGCTTATTGTAAATAAGTAAATTAAGGACGGCATGGCGAATCGATTTTGACATTAACTGTCAAACCAATGACTGTGATACCAACTATCTAAAGAAAAATTCGACCAAATTAAATTTACTATTACCAGCCTGTATCTTGGATATCGTTGATTTTTGTACTAAGAAAATTTAAATCAATCTCTATATATTTTTTGTAAAGAATATGCTGTTAAATTATTTTCCTTTACTTATGGAACACCCTGTATACTAGCAGGTAAATAAATTTAAACATGTATAACACCCACAACATATAAAACAATAAAGTGAATATCAATTAAACAGTGTAATTGGTAATATAACATCGAAATTAAATTAAAAGTAACCTTCGTAATACAAAAAACATGCTAAATAAAAATTATGGGTCAATTAAATCCGCATATTTGCAACAATACTCCAGATGTAAAAATTTTGCAAGCAAAATGGCCGAATGGGTCGAAATTCCACCGCACAGAACCATCAAGTGGTTTCCACTGTTCTACCAAGGGATTTTCGCGTTTTTGACCGCCTCCCTGGATTTTTCGCATGTAACTGACGAGATTTTTCTTTTAGTTAAAAGCACCAATGAAACTTCAACGTTCACTGGAATCGTCAAGTCGGCGGAGAACCTAGGTGAACAGTACGGCATCGAACCATGGCTGTTGGTCACCATTTTAATAGGTGAGTACAAATTCTACTTCTGATCAGAGCTGGGAAAGTTACTCTGAAAAGTATCTAGTTACTTTTCTAAGATACTTTAAACAAAATAACTTAGTTACCTCTGATAACTAGATACTTTAAGTTAAAATTATCTTTAGTTACAAGATACTTTAAAAGGTATCTAAGATACTTTTGATTAACTAAGATACTTTTAAGTAACTAAGATATTTTTGAGTAACTTAGTTACTTTTAAGTATGAATAAAAACTATAAAATTATAAGGATTCAACAAGTTGGAATTCTGGAATTCCCCCAATTTTCTCTAAGAAAGTATCTAAGTTACTTAAATGTATTTTAGTTACACGGAGAGAAATGTATAGTAAATTTAAGATAGTAAAAAAATATAGTAAAATTTACTTTAACAAATTTTTAAGGTAACAATATTATATATTCGTCAATACAATATTAGGATTGTATACAAATTTACAAGATTTCAACACCAATATTACTAAATCATAAATGTATAATATATATTTTAATTTTTAATATGTTCGTATAGTAAATTGATTTTACTATCTACAAATAGTAATATTTACTATATGATTTAATCAAATGTAAGGTGTACATCTAATATTATAATATATTACACATTAATAAAAAATATAGTAAAAATAAAGATACTTTCATGTTTAAGGTAAATAAACAATATATTTAAATATTAATAGGCAATATAGTAACTCATGACATTTTAAACATTTAATTTTCTTACTTTCTTCAATAAACTTTCTTTACCCATTACTGGTAATACCTAAAAAGAATTAAACCTACTTGGTTGCATAGTATGTACCGATTGCGGCAAAGGCCACGTCGCGACGCGTCGACGCGACGTGTCGACACTGATGATACCCAATATAACACACCTGTCTGTCGGTATTTGAAGTTGATGGAACGCACTCAAAACAAAAAAAATTTGGTGAGGTGTAGATTCAATTCTTTCTCATAACATTTTTTTATATTAAAAAGTACAATAAATATGTTACAATTTTTAATTGTTAACACATAAAAATATTTTATATTTAAAATGGCAACATAATATTTTAAAATTTACTATACTTATTAGTAATGGAAAAAATCTAATTAGGTATAATAAGAATTAAAAACAAAATTGGTTGAGAATAATAATATTTTACCTTAAGGTTTAATATACATGGATATTTAAAAATTACTAAATATGCATAGTATCTGGCAATATACAAGATAGTTGTCCCAAACAGTAATATAAATTATACTAAAGGGTAATCAGCATTATACTTTTCTCTCCGTGTACTTTACCGAGTAACTAAGATACCTTTTTAGATACAAGTTACAAGATACTTTTCCAAAGTAACTTAGTTAAATATACTTTTTGTCCAATATTAAAGTATCTTGGATACTTTAAGTATCTAAGTTACTTTCAAGAACTCCCAGCTCTGCCCCTGATGTTTGTTTTTTAGTACAAAAATTGTTTTCTTTGAACAGGCGTGTGCGTTATCATTCTTGGAATATGCTTCTGCTGTATAAGAAGATTCTTCCGGAAGCGAAGGGCAAAAGATGGGAAGAAAGGGATGAAAGGTGTGGATCTGAAATCCGTACAGTTGCTGGGATCTTCTTACAAAGAAAAGGTATAAAAATTATTTTATTTATTTATTTTTTTTTAATTACTTTTTAAAATTAAGGTCCAACCTGACATGGACGAACTTACCGAAAACGCCGAAGAACCAGATGATGGAGAAAAACCTGAAGTTCAAAAACTTGGAAAGTTGCAGTATAAGGTAGCATAATAGTACCTTTAGAAAGCTTGAAGATTGCATTTTTTTTATTATTTACTTCCCCAAATATATTTTTATTTTTTTGTTTTGTTGTTTTTATTTTTTTTTCTTTATGTTTATTTCCCTCATTATATCAGGAGCCTTGAATTTTCGAATAAATTTTGTTTAGATAAGCGATTAAATTTTAGGCTTCATATTGGATTTTTTTACTATTTTATGGTGTTATTTTAACGTTGTTTTAACGTACATTTTTTAAAAAACATACCATAGGGTCCCTAGATTTGGTACCTTAGAATACCAAAATGTCAAAAGTCAGAGTTTTATAACCTATATAATGCACCGCCAAAAGTATGTTTTTAGCCATTTTAAAGACATTTTCTGCTAAAAAACCCAGAAATTTTCTCTCTATATTTATATTATATAATATTATTATTTTATGTATTCAACATATAATTTGTTAAATTTACAATTATTATCCCGTTCTGCCTCAAAATAGCGTATTAAGGATGATACCGACTATTTAAATGCTTCGGCATTTTAAATATAGGAAAAACAAAAAAACGATATATAACAAACAAAAAAACGGCAATGAAAACTTAAACGATATAAAATAACACAAACAGCAAACAAATTAAACGAAATATTCAAAAACACAACTGACAGCTTCGAAATTCTAAAACGTCAATTTTTTTTTCCATGCGTCATTTTATTAAGCAAAATTTTAATCTAAACATGACAACATTGCAATTGCTGCTAACTTAATTTGGTTAAAATGCATTAAAATATTCAATTTTATTCGCTTTATACATTTAGTGTTGGTACCCGTGCGCAAAATTATGACGTCATCGTGATATAATATATGATTATTTTTTTACGTTTCCTAAAATTTACATAGTTTAAATTTTCCAAAATTTTCAAAATATTTCGGATTTTTTTAAATTTCCATAATTCATAAACTTTTTAAATTTTCCAAAATTGAATAATTTGAAGTAATTGTGTTTAGCTTTAAGGCATTGTGGTTACGTCAAATAATAGTCCAACGAAAACCATATGAGAAATTGATAAATTAAAAATATTTATACAATAATGAATAACTAGAATACTTTTTTAGAGTTTCATGAATTTATTTTAATTTTACTTTGACAATTGTTTCGCTAACACAGTAGCTTCTTGAAAAATGATTTCAAACTTTATCTAATAACAAACATAATATTATATAACACAATTATAGCGCACAATAAATTAATAATAGACTAAGTCACAAAAAACTGAAAGTGGCCATAAATCAAGTCCAACAGTACAATTATTATATAATATTGTCACTTACCTACCTAGGTACTAAGACAAGACATGTGTCGAATTTTTTCAAAAAGAATAATATTCAAATTGCATTTAAAACTAACAATTTGTGTACACTTGTAAAAAACAACAAAGATAAACTTAAGAATTATGAGAAATCCGGAGTCCAAAAACTTACATAGGCCAAACAGGCCGAAATTATAAAACCAGAAATAATGAACATATACGAGGTGTGTTCAGAAAATATCGGGAATTTTCTATTTTTGAAACAAATATTTTTTTATTCTTCTACATTAATGTTGTCGCCTTCAAAATAGTCCCCATTGGATATTATGCACATGTGCCAGCTCTTCTTCCAATACTCGAAACACTTCTAAAACTCGATCTTTGGAATAGCCTTTAGTTCTTTCAGCGATGCGCTTTTAATGTCATCTATGCTTGCAAAACAACGGCCCTTTAAGGTTCTCTTCATTTTTGGGAATAGGAAAAAGTCAGACAGAGGCATGTCTGACGAATATGGAGGCTGGGGCATCATTACAGTATTGTTTTTGGCCAAAAATGTTGTTCAAAATTTAACAATTTTAGAACAAATTTTGCTGCCACGCGTTTCATACCCAAAACATTCGAAAAAATTGCATGGGATTAGCCAATCGATATAACAACATCATCAGCGACTTTTCTGATAGTTTATAACCATTTCTTTCACTTTTTCCATGTTTTTATCGGTTGTTAATGCGCTTGTGCGCTCGGGGCGTTCGTCATCTTCAACGTCTTCACGGCCATCTTGGAAACTCTTAAACCACTTGTAAACTCTTGTTTTACTTATAGCAGACTCACTATAGGCCTTTGTTAACATTTCACAGAATTTATTTCATTTTTTAAGCAAAATTAGATACAAATTCTTTGATTCATTTCTTTTAACGAACGAACAATCGCCGAGCTCATAAAACACGTCTAACCTTAGCGGCTGCCACAGACAAACTAAACAATGAAAACAGCTACATTTTTATCATACTTCGGGGGCATGTATACCAACATAATAAAGAAAATTGTATGACAACCGGACCCTCCGAACTCGCGAAATTTAACAATTCCCGTTATTTTCTGAACACACCTCGTATATGTTCTATAGACAATTTTTTATTAATCAAAAAACAGATTCAACTTATGCCAACCATTTAATTCAGGAAAAGCACTCATTTACCAATAATGTTGCAAATAATGCTACGAAGTTAAATTTACTAAAATCATTAGAAATTAATAAATTAAAAAATCTGGTAGTATCCTCAATGATCAAATAGAAACAAATAATTCCCCTCTGTTAAATTTATTCTAATATTATAAGTGTTTTATCTAGTTATACATTAGTGACATTGGTTTCATCAAGTAAAAGTCGAAACAATAAAATAATTATCCAGATCTTTTCTAAAACATGTACCCATTTAGAGATATACACTCGAGCCCTTTGGGCTTTTACATTTTGTATAATATTGAAAAATTTATATATCATTCTGTCTTTTAGTTGGAATATGACTTCAATCAAAACAGCCTATCGGTGACGGTCATTCAGGCTGAAGAACTGCCAGCCCTGGACATGGGCGGAACGTCTGACCCCTACGTAAAGGTTTATCTCCTGCCCGACAAAAAGAAAAAGTTCGAGACCAAAGTCCACCGGAAAACTTTGAGCCCCGTGTTCAATGAAACTTTCGTCTTCAAGGTAAAAAAATTAGGAGTGAAATTTAAGTAAAAAAAATATTCGATTTTTTTTTCTTGTAGAGCATGCCCTATGCCGACGCAATGAACAAGACCCTGGTGTTCGCGATTTTCGACTTCGATCGCTTCTCCAAGCACGACCAGATCGGAGAGGTCAAAGTTCCCCTATGTCAGATCGACTTGGCCCAAACAATCGAAGAGTGGCGCGAACTTCAGAGTGTAGAAGGCGAAGGTGGTCAGGTGATATCTTAGCAATTGTTTATCATACTCTTTTTCTTATCTTATACTCACGACCACCAGATCGACAAAAAATATATACAGGGTGTCCACGGATTGACTTAACTATACTTATAAAAATATTTATTTTCAATTTTTCGAAAAAAATGCACTCCTCATAATTTCTTCTGCTTGTTATATTAATACCATTCACGATAAGAAACTTCTATTTTGTTATACAGGGTGCGCACAAAAAATACAATTGTAGATTAAGCAAAATTAAAAATTGTTAAATATTTTTTTTTGAACGTCTAATATGAAGCTTGCAAGGAAAAACCAAAAAGCCAAATAAAGTTTTTTTATGTGAGTTGTTACTAAGATATTTGTTATTAAAAATAAAATCAATTCAGCTTCTAACTTGAGTGGTCCTATTATTTTGTAGAAATTGACTGCTATCTCATTTTGTGATTATGACTAGAGATGCGACTTGAAAAAAAAACGGTCCGATTTTTTTGTTTTTTTTTTAGTTTTTTTTTAATTGTTTTTTTTTCAAATGGTTTTTTTCACATTTTAGGTATTTATTAGTAAATTGACCAATAAGGGCCGCGCTTGTTTTGATTTGGTACTAAAAAAAGTAACTACATATAATATTTTTGATTCAGCGCTTGATTTTTCAAAAAGCTACCAAAAGCACTTTTTTCATGATTTTTCAAATTCATGTATAGAAATTTTTTTTTTTTTTTAAACAATAGCAAATTCTTGTAGAACATTTATTTATTGGTGGTTAAGTCAGAACATTCCGTGGACCAGAAAGCCAAAAAAAATCTATTTTTTTTATTACGGTATTTGTTAGGATTGAGCGTTGCACATTTTTCATCTAAAAATCTCAAAACTAGAAACTTCAAGCTTCAAATTGCTTTTTTTACGGCTCCAATACGACCATTTTTAACAAAGATACAGCTATCCGAAAAATCGCAAAACAATTTTTTTTATCCTTTAATTTTTTTGTATTGGTGCTACTGGTTTCTAATGTGGAAACTACTAAATAATAAGAAATCAGATTTTTTAGTCAAAATTTTCAATAATGAAAAATTTAACATTTCACTTTATTATTAATATATTTTACTCAAAATTTTATTTTGAAAAAAAAAAACAAAAAAAACTGTTCTTTTTTTAGTTTTTTTTTTCATGTTTTTTTCACATCTGAAAAAAAACCGTTTTTTTACATCTCTAATTATGACTCAAGGTTGTTGCTTTCAACAGACATGTCTACAATTATTTGTTAAAATTTGAAAACTAATATTTTTAAAATCAAATATTTTTAAATATCAAAAACTAATATGAAAATTTTCATTTGACTTTTTGATTTCTCTTTACCATCTCTTTATATTAGCGCTTAAAAAAAATAAAAAAACAAAAATTTTTTATTTTGAAAATCAGTATTTTTGTTCGCCCTGTACAACAAAAGCGAATTGAATTTATATAACAAGCAAAAGAAATGATGAAAAATGACTTTTCCTCGAAAAATTGAAAATAAATATTTTTACAAGTATAGTTAACTCCATCCGTGGACACACTGTATATAAAAGTATTTTTTGGAGGATCGGAGAATTTATAGAGAGGGTGCCGTGTGTTATGTTAGTGTATATTCTACACCCAGTTCTGACCATCGGATGTCTGCAAAGTTTAAAAGTTTAATTAAATTTGCACTTTTTTAATCTTACTTATATTTTAGAAACTTTTCTGGTACATATCAACATTGGCACACAAATAAACTATTAAGCCAGCCACTTTAGGTTTCAAAGATCAAAGGAAAAAATATTATTTAAACAAAAAACTATTAAACTAATTATTAATTATCACGTTAACTTTTTTTCTTGAAAACCTAAACTGACTGGTCTAAATATAGAAACCTGTAACCTGTCACAGCAAAAAACAAAAACTAAAAACTGAGTGCCAGAAATGTTTTTCACCAAAGTAACCTCTAACATGGGTAACTCTAGAATTCAGCCTTGTAGATGACAGTTTTTTTAACTTTTTTATACGCTCAAACGGGGTAGCTTTGAAAGCTTGTGATACGATAAAGTTAGCTTACAGGTTTCTACGTTACCAACAGCAGAAATAACTGAGTTTTCACACCACCAACTGAACAACGCTAACTGAATGATGACTAAACAAAAGAGCTGATTTTAATTTAATTTAATTTAATGGTATTATGAAAATAAATAAATAATTTTATATTTTTAAAACAAAAATTTATATCTGACATTCTTAAGACAATATGCATTCCCCTTTAAACGGCTTAATTTTATATTTTTAAGATAGCTAGATAGCTTAAGTTTGCAATTTTTAGACAGTAATATCTTGCTTAAGCTAACATTTTTAACACAGTTAACACAGTAACTTGACGTTCTTAAGAAGGTTATATCTAGCTTAACAGTCCAAAAACAGCTTAAAGCATACATTTTTCACAGTTTTATCTTGCTGTTGAAACTTAAGAAGCTTAACTTTACATTTTTAAAAGTTGTTACTTAATTTGTTATTTTTAAGACAGTAATATCTTGCTTAAGTTGACATTTTAAAGAGAGTTATATCTAGCTTAACTTGACATATTAAGCTTTTGACATTCTTAAGACTTATATCTAGCTTGACAGTCTAAAAATAGCTTAACAGTTAAATTTTACAATTTCAAGACGTTAGGTTATATCTAGTTTAACTTTACATTTTTAAGACAGTTATATTAGACTTAATTTGTTATTTTTAAGAAAGTAATATCTTGCTTAAGTTGACATATTGAAGACAGTTATATATAGCTTAACTTGACATTCTTAAGACATATCTAGCTTAACAGTCCTAAAAGCTTAAAACAGCATAATTTGACATTTAAATAGTTTTATCTTGCTTAAGTTGGCATTATTAAGACAGATATATATATAGCTTAACTTGACTTTCTTAAGACAGTTAAATCTAGCTTAAGTTGACATTCTTATAAGACAGTTATATCTAGCTTAACAGTTTAATTTGATATTTTTAAGAGTTTTTTCTTGCATGCGTTGACATTCTTAAGAAGGTAGCTAGCTCAATTTAACATTCTTAATACTTAATTTTTCATTTTAAGACAGTAGTATCTTGCTTAAGTGGACATTTTTAAGACAGTTATATATAGCTTAAGTTGACAGTTTTATCTTGCTTGACATTCTTAAGACGGTTATATCTTGATAAAGTTAACATTATTAAAACAGTTATACAGGGTATAATATATCTAGCTTAACAGTCTAACAATAGCTTAAAACAGTTAAATTTTACATTTGACAGTTTAACCTAATGTCTTGCATAAGTTGACATTTTAAAGACAGTTATATCTAGCTTAACTTGACATATTAAGCTAGACATTCTTAAGACATATCTAGCTTGACAGTCTAAAAATAGCTTAAAACAGTTAAATTTTATATTTTTAAGACAGCTATATTAGACATAATTTGTTATTTTTAAGATAGTAATATCTTGTTTAGGTTGATATTTTTAAAACAGTTATATATAGCTTAACTTGACAGTTATGTCTAGCTTAAAACGGTTGAAAATTTTAAGACAATTTTATCTTGCTTAGGCTGACATTCTTAAGACATATCCAGCTTAACTTGGCATTATTAAGAGATATATAGCTTAAATCTTAAAACAGCCTAAGACAGCTTAATTTGAATTTTTTTTTAATTTTAGGAAAGTTTTATCTTGTTTTTGACATTCTTGAGACAGTTATATCTAGCTTAACTTGACAGTTTTTTCTATTAAAGTTGACATTCTTAAGGCAGTTATATATAGCTTAATTTTACATTTTTACGAAATATAAATTAAAAATATTAATTATTATTAAAAATGTCGATACTAAGACATTTTTTTTTTAAATCCAAATGTTCTCTTTATGGTGCTCTTTTAGTTTTATCCTTACTTCCTAAAAAGTCCCTGAGCCAACTGGATGGCTTGTGCGGGTTAGGGGTAGGAACAGACCGCGGGCTTAAAGTCCCCTTCGAAGAACTTGAACAATGAAACAAACACGAATAAACAACCCCACCAATAGCACTGACCACTACTCCACCGTCGGCGGTAGCATAGTGTCAATAATGGCGAATGCTCGAGGATTAATGTCAAAAAATATAATCTGTTCAGTTAGCGTTGTTCTGTTAATTCAACCGAAATTAATACTTCTCAATACTATCTTCAAACTCAAAGCAGTGGACAATCTATATTGACGTAAATTGTTTTTTCTCTTTTTCCTTAAAAAATTTCGCTCTGCTTTGGTTATGGCTCTGTTAAATGGTTGCGGGCGCATATTATGCATGACGCTTCAAATCAAAATATTTTTCACGTAAGTATATTTCATGATTATGTATCACAAAAAGCTAAAATAAAAATATCAAAGTTTTAACAATATATACGAAAACAATTTATTTTAGCTTCCCATTTAAATATTTTACAAACTTTGCAGAAAAAAGCAACCTATAGAATGTAAGGCAATATTTTATATCATCATATTTTTAAATTGCTTATTTCTGTAACTAACACAGTAGTTTTTAATTAGGATTAAGAAAGTTTACAGATATATTTTATCTAAATTACCTCGAAAGATTATTTTTAAACGCGTATAAAACATATCTATAAACAACAATTTTATGCAATCAATAACATTTTTTATACATTTACTATGCATTTACCTACATTTAAATTTATTAACATGGTATCTAATTCTTTTATTCTTGACATTTTAGTACCGCCAGTTCAAAACACATTTTAATAAATTAGTCACTTAAAAAATAGCATTGATTATTGTTTCGTAAAAATATTAATATTAATTATTATCAAAAATCATTATTTTTAATATGATACTCGACCAAACTTTTGTCTAAAAAAAGTAAAATTTGACATAAAATATAGATGAAAAAAATAAAAATGTGTATTTATATTTCTAGTGACATTAAAGTAAAATTTGTTTTGAACGAATGCAGTGCCGTATTTAGCAAATACTTGATAATTTAATTATTATTATGATTGCCCAAACATTTTTTCTACCTACGTTTGTTCCCAAAATTGCACATGCATGGTCTCCTGTGTTAGCATCTGCATCTGGCTGTTTTACTGTTTTTTATATTCAAATTGTGTCTCACACAAGATTTAAAATGATTTTGAAGTACTTTTTTACTAATATATATTTATATATATAACAAATTACAATAAACGGGTCTGCCACAGGGAAACAAAACACTCTAACAGTAATTTTTATATTGGTTACGATTCATTTTGCCAACTAATATATATTTTAGTGGATGCAAAAGACTATTTTTCTAAAATATTTTGAACAAAAATAACAAAACAAATAGAACACCCCATATATTTTTACATTTTTAAAATTCTAATTAAAAATACCATACCATGTCCTATACCTAAAGTGACTATTTTCGAGTTTTTAATTTTTTTCATTAAAATTTTTGAAATGCGCGCTAATCAAAATTAGCCTATAATTTTTTGTTATTAGGTTTGCGAATATGGGGGTGAAATTTTTAGAATCTTAAAACATTGTTTAATAGATTCCTTCTCAATTATTTAACATTTTTCAACAAATTAGGCTTACTTGAAAGGTTAATATTTTTTTATTTAAAATGTTACACCCTGTATTTTTTTACATAGTTTTTACAAAAAAATCAAGACTTGACTGTAACAGTTGTTACTGAATTTGTTATTTTTAAGACAATAATATCTTACTTAAGTTGACATTTTAAGCTTTTGACATTCTTAAGACATATCTAGCTTGACAGTCTAAAAATAGCTTAAAACAGTTAAATTTTACATTTTTAAGACGGTTTAATCTAGCTTAAGTTGACATTTTTAACGTTATATCTAGTTTAACTTAACATTTTTAAGAGTTATATTAGACTTATTTTTTTATTTTTAGGATAGTAATATCTTGCTTAAGTTGACATTTTTAAGACAGTTATATATAGCTTAACCTGACATTCTTAGGACATATCTAGCTTAACAGTCTTAAAACAGCTTTAAACAGCATAATTTCACATTTAAATACAGTTTTATCTTGCTTAAGTTGGCATTCTTAAGACAGTTATATATAGCTTAACTTGACTTTCTTAAAACAGTTAAATCTAGCTTAAGTTGACATTGTTATAAGACAGTTATATCTAGATTAACAGTTAAATTTGATATTTTAATTAGTTTTTTCTTGCATGCGTTGACATTCTTAAGAAGGTTATAGCTAGCTCAATTTGACATTCTTAAGACAGTTATATTAGACTTAATTTGACATTTTAAGATAGTAGTATCTTGCTTAAGTGGACATTTTTAAGACAGTTATATATAGCTTAATTTGACAGTTTTATCTTGCTTGACATTCTTAAGACGGTTATATCTTGATAAAGTTAACATTTTTAAGACGGTTTAATCTAGCTTAAGTTGACATTTTTAAGACAGTTATGTTACACCCGGGATTTTTTTACATAGTTTTTACAAAAAAAATCAAGACTTGACTTTAGGAAGCTTAGTCCTTACTTCATCTGTTTTAAATTTTTCTTTTCACTTCATTATGAAATTTTTAAAGAACATCAATCAATTATTCAACAATCAAGGATGCTGTTTGGAACCTTAATCAAATGAAAAATCCAAACCAATATAAAAATTCTTAAAAATACAGAGTGTACCCTGTGAACTCAGCATGCCAGCACCATATAGTTATAGCATTGGAGCACACTTAATTTTTCAGTATCCATCTCTGTTAGTAGTGTGTAATATTTTCTATATTTATTGTTCAGAAGATCCTGAAGTATTCTACTTAAGGTATTTTACAACATTATCAAACATCCTACAAATATTTTTAATTAGATTTTTAGATTTTCTTTACTTTGTTTAAACACTTAAATAATAAGTTTAGCGTTTAGAATAATAACCTGTTTAGTATTTAATTTAATTTATTTAATCATTAATCAATGAAGATCAAATGAGATATATAAATATTGGTTTGAGCTGGGTGTTTTTTCTTTAGAAAAACATTTTTTTAATATAAATAGGATTTAATGGTAAATTGCAGAAATTTTTTAGATTAAACATGCCTTATGATGCAGTGTTAGATAAAATTAATTAAAAAAAAATAGTTGTTATAGAAAATCAAACAATTTTTTTTAATATCCTTTTAGGTATTTAGTTATATTATACTAAACGATTGAGAAGGTTGGCAACTTCCTAAGAGCTCAAAATAACGAGAATTATTAGTGGTGTTGCAAAATCATTATAGTCGCCCCTCGTATACTACCATAAAATCCGAAGTCTGTTGGACGGTTCTAACCTAACTTTTTCCCAATTTATCAATTAAGTAACGACTAATACTACCTGTGAAGAAAAGTTCAGGACTGAGCCACTTACTCAATCGAAAACGTATAAGAAATGTACCACTTCTTAACAAAAAAACTATTAAAAAAAATACTTAATAATTAAATTTAAGCAACAAAAAAAATTGTCTGATTAGAACAACTATAAATGTTTTGGTCCCGCTTATAGGCAAAAACACTTGAATGTATGTATAATATGTCCATCCATAAAGTTAATGTTGTTTCCCAAGATGGTTTCCTATTGTTGTTTCTTCTTACCCAATCCCCATTCACTGAGATTTGTTTTTCTGACTATTTTTAACACCCCTGTACCCTGTGTGATTTCGAATATTGAAACACCCCCCCCCTCGGGCTTGACCACACTACTCTTTGATTGCGCATGCGTTAGGGTAATGTCTCTGGAATTAAGATTGAAATTTTTTTCGTCCTTTGGATTTATATCCAATTTTCTCTATAGTTCTGAAAGATAAAATGTTAGTTTTGAAATAGTCTCAAATGTAGGTGGGTAAGTATATAAAACTCTGATTATAGTGCAGTTAGTAAAAAATTATATTAATATTATATTTTCCAGAGACATTACATAGTCTACCTATCTTTATATTTCTTTAAAAAATCTGGGTGTTTTTTGATTTTCAATTTAATCTTTTTTACATTTTTAATAAGTGTTTCACCAAAACTTTTTTATTTAAGCCCCGTGATAAGTTATTGTAAATTACATTTTTTTAACATACATGGGTCCTGAAAATGGCAACTTAGGGTTATTTTAAGCATACAAAGTTGTATGGTTGGTGTGCCATTTTTAGAACACCCTGTATATTTGGCTGTTTCTCCGGCAATGTCTTTTTTTACAAATTTATATAGATTACTTTTAAAATTGGTAAAGACAAATCCTCAAACTAGTTTTTCGGGGAAGCACCCAAAAATATTATAAAAATTATATTACAAAAAATTTAGGATAATATAACTGTTTTTGTCAGAATAGTATCCTAAATTTATACAAATATATTTTAAAATATTGATTGCATCTATTTTATTATTATTTAACAATCAAATAAAATAAAAAAAACATTTGCATCGCAATAAAAGATTACTGTGATTAAGCTGTCTATGTCAGGTCAACTTTAGCAAAAACTTTATCATCCAACAGGAAAATAAGTTGGGAGACATTTGCTTCTCACTTCGCTACGTACCGACCGCTGGAAAATTGACTGTCGTCATCTTGGAAGCTAAGAACCTCAAAAAAATGGACGTTGGTGGACTTTCTGGTATACAATTTTGCAAAAATGTTTTCGTGTTTTTACCTTATTTTTTCCCGTGCAGATCCTTACGTGAAGATAGCTTTAATGCAGAACGGTAAACGACTGAAGAAGAAGAAGACTAGCATCAAGAAATGTACCCTGAACCCCTACTACAATGAATCCTTTACCTTTGAGGTACCGTTTGAACAGATACAGGTAAGAAGATCGTTTTTATATTTCATGTCAGAGCTGGTAGTATCTTGAAGAAAAGATACTTGAAAGTAACTTAGATACTTAAAGTATGTAAGATACTTTATCTTAGATACTTTGTATATTGGACAGAAAGTTACTCCGTAAAGTAACTAAGATACATTCAAGTAACTTAGATACTTTAAAGTAACTAAGATACTTTTTAAAGTAACTAAGATACTTTTTAAAGTAACTTAGATACTTTCTTAGAGAAAATTGGGGGAATTCCAGAATGATTCAAAATAATTACCTAACCTACAACTTGTTGAGTTTTCATAATTTTATAGTTTTTATTCAAACTTAAAAGTAACTTAGTTACTCAAAAGTGTCTTAGTTACTCAAAAGTATCTTGGATACTCTCATATAGTATCTTAGATACTTTCGGATAGTATCTCAGATACTTTTTAAAGTATTTTGTAACTAAAGACACTTTTAAGTCAAAGTATCTAATTACCAGAGGTAACTAAGTAATTTTCTTTAAAGTATCTTAGAAAAGTAACTAGATACTTTTCAGAAGTAACTTTCCCAGCACTTTCTTGTCTACATGTTTTCTATCTTTTGCAGAAAGTGAATCTGCAAGTGACAGTGGTGGACTACGACAGGATTGGTACCTCCGAACCAATCGGTAAAGTGGTACTGGGATATAACGCATCCGGAACCGAGCTACGCCACTGGTCGGACATGTTGGCCTCCCCTCGTCGGCCAATCGCCCAATGGCACACTCTAAAGGACCCCGAGGATGAAAAGAAGGACTAAGCTTAATCCGGCTAACAACGCAGATTTTGAATTATTTAAGGTAAAAAAAGAATCACCCATGTTGTCTTTATTTTATAAGAAGTTTTCAGTAGAGATTTTTAGATTTTTTGCGACTGTATGCTTGTATTATAAATATATATTAGGGTGGGTCAAAAAAACCGACTATTTTTTTTACTTTGTACTCTTAAAAATCGATTACTAGACACCTCTAGAGAATTCTCACCAAACATGAGCTCTTAATTTTGATAACAAGGTTCTCCGCTTTACAATTTTCCATTTTTTCCTCAGTATTAGAAACAAAAATTTATATCTCTTCGACAACTGTTCGTAGGAAATCGAACGCTCTACAAAAAATGTCTCCTACAATTTTATCGAAAACCTCACCGTTTAAAAGATATCGAAGGTTAAAGTTTAATTATTTTAAGAGAAATTTCTGTTTTGCCTATGAATTTTATAACTCGCTTACAAAAATTTTTTCGCGCAACTCATAGTTTTGTAGAAAATTAACTGCTCTACAAAAATGGTCTGTTATGATTTGTCGATTAAATTAAGCGTTTAAAGGATATTCATCGTCAAACTTCAATGCATACTAATTTTAACGGTTTTTGATGAATAATTTTCAATTTAATTTTTGAGTTTTACGAAAATTTATACAAATTCCAGTTTCTATCGTAAAAGTAACTCTTATAGAAGTTTCCCTTTCGAAAATTTATTTAAGACTTTTATTTTAATATTATTTTCATGAAATTTATCTTTATAATAACTTATAACTTATTTTTCATTTCAATATAACCAAACATATGTAGGACTAAAAAAACGAGAAAAAAAGTTTCTCTTTTCATAGGAACTCAAATTTGTATAAATTTTCGTAAAACTCAAAAATTAAATTGAATTATTCATCAAAAACTGTTAAAATTAGTATGAGAGACCATTTTTGTAGAGCAGTTAATTTCCTACAAAACTATGAGTTGCGCGATTCATAAAAATTTTTTGTAAGCGAGTTATAAAAGTCATAAGCAAACCAGAAATTTCTCTTAAAATAATTAAACTTTAACCTTCGATATCTTTTAAACGGTAGAGCGCTCGATTTCCTATAAGAATATGAGGAAAGATATTTAAAAAAAAATCCATTATGAATAACTGCTTAAGGAAAGGAGGTCTTTTATTTGCAAATTAATCTTTGAACTAAATTGATTAAATAATGCTTAACTATAAATAGTTTATTTATATCTCAATAATAATTATTACTTATAACTAAATACCATTTTTTTACCTCAATTAGGATTAAATTAATTAATTGAAAAAATAATGTTTCTTTACTTTAAATGAGGTATTTTTATTAAAAATAGTACAATAATTCTTTAAATTAAAGGTTTTAATGCTGGCAGGTAAAAAGTGACCATGGTGCGCAATTAATAATTATCACCGAATGAAATATTGTATAAATTTATAAAGGAAATTTAAATATTAGTTAAAAATCGTGGGTACTTAAAAAAATCAGACTTAATTTAATAAGATAATTATTACCAAAAAAAGTGATATTTTTATAGAAAAATTATTGCAGAATCGTATAAGAAGAAAAATCGAACAAAATTGATTTTTTTCATTACAGCGCCATCTATTACAAATATGAAAAAATGTTTTAGACAAAATCTACCTATTTTTAGTCGAATGATCCGAATCTGCAATAAAAAATAGGGAATTGGAAATTTTAAAGTTACCCCTGTATATTAAACATTTTCATTAAACATTTTTTTTTTTCAGAAACGCAAGATATTGGTTACCTAGCATGATGATATCCCCGTTTATAAAATATGGAATAAATGTATAGATGTTATATTTTATAATATTTAATAAATATTATGTTTAGACCCATCATTATACTTTAAAATTATATTAATGGAGTAACCGTATGTAGCCACATTTTATTATAATTAAATAAAAAGATATATAGCTTGTCATATTTATCATAAAACTCAGTCTCATAATGTAAAGGTTACTCTAATAATTGCTAAAACAAACTCATCGTCATATCCTTTTTATGTATATACATAAATATGTTTCAGAACTATTACTCAATGTTAAACTTAACCTCTGAATCACTCGGCTTCATTTAATCGTGCCAGTTTATGCATAAACGATTTTTTTTAGCGTTACTCAACATTTCGTATCAAAAAGTGAAGTGATATCTCTATAGCTAGCTGTTGTAGTTGATTTTGAAGTTACGCCTTATAAGAAAACCTTCTTCTTGATAATAATTATTATAAATTTAGCGTTAAAATAATCGTTTATGATTATACTGATCATAAAAAATATGATTATATTATAGTTATATATAAGGGTGGTAGTTGAAGTAAAAAAAGATATACAGACAATAGAAAGTATAGCTCATAGAATATAAATATTATTGTAAAATTTTGGCTTGTTTGTTTTTATAAAATGCACAAAAATTGTTTAAAACAGGGAGGTGTTTCATTCCATAGAAAAATATATTTATAGAAAGGAGTTTCTTTAGAGATAATTTTCTATGAAAATTTAAAAAAGTTATATTTATTAAGTTTAATTTATTTGTACAGAAATTGTAGTTGTTAGTATTTTAAATTAACTAGCTCAGTAACAACAGCATTTTAAAGTACTACAAGTACTATAATCCATAGAATAACTAAATAAATTATAGGCTTTAGCTTTTTACGGGTACATGTACTATATAAAAAACGGAGCTAGTTATATTTATAACCTCAAAATTTGTATTATTAGACTAGTACATCCGAACCAAAAAAGTCGTAATATTAATTAAGTACGAAATTTGTACTTATTTTTATTACTGCAATACACAGTACTCTTCAAAGGACTTTTATTCACAGGCCCAATAATGGCTAAAAGTCTTTTTCGTCCTGTTTATAAAATACTTTTTTACTGTTGCATTAATGTTCATCACTTTACAAGCTGATATTATCTTCCTTTTTTCCTGTTGTAAATATATTTATATATATAATGTTAAAATGTTGTGTATATTAAGAAAAAATAAAAGCGTTATGGCCCCCTTTTACGTAAACAATCCTAAGATATCTTATGCATTTTGGGCCCAATAATTATATCCAGTTTAGTTGAATATAACGTACGCAAAATAGCACTCGATATGGAAACGTGTAAGAACAAGTTTAAAAAGTACAGTCGTGGATAATCGCTCTGCTTCTTAGGCGCAAAACTTTTGTCCACCACTGTACATTTTAAAGTTGTTGAAATTTGACTGTTGATTTGAAATGTATGCACTCTAGGGCTTTATCAAAATGAATGGCAATATTAGGAAATTGTATATTAAGTAGACGAAGTGTATATCCATATACAGAGTGTTATAATGTATTATGTATGCATTAATTGTAATAATAAATGTTAATTCTACTGTTATTTACCGTGTTTTTGTTCATTTTTTCGTTTACAAAAATGCATATATTTATACATTATGTAATAAACTGTTTAGACTAGTTTTTAGTTATCGAAAAAAATAAAACAAGTACTGTCGACAGCTTTATCCTGACCTACAATTAGCTATAGCTAGCACTTTATTATAAATGATCTAGTTAATTTTTAAATGTTAAATTAAAAGAACAATAAGTATTCATAAAATTATAATGTGAAAATAAGAAACGTGGCAACCCTGCTCTTGTTAAGTAGACAAAAAATAAATCATATCACTCGTCCTGTTGATAATTTTTGTTTGTTTTCCCATTTTTACTCATCTTTTCATCCCCTATCTTAATTAATAAATCATATGTTACAATTGCACGGCTTTTAATTTAAATCTATAATTTAAAGGAATGTATAAATTAAACGGTAAATATCTCTAAAATATCTTTTACTTGTCACAAATATTATTTACATAAAATATTTAGTTACCTATTGGTTGTCCCTATAATACCTCCTCTTGAGGGTTCTATATTTTTTGAGCATATAAAGAGCTTCCACCTCTTTAACAATATATTGTCCATGGCCAATCATTTTCTCTATTTTTTCCGAATCAGTTACATCTTTATTTTTCATGAAGGCGTTATGCAATCTACTCCTAAAGTACTCGTAGCCCGAGGGATATTCTTTACCTAAATGTAGCAACTACAAGAAAATAATATTTTTAAAAAGGGCTTTTTTTAAATATAAATAAACTTACCGTTTTGTACAAGTCGATTACTTGCTTTCTATGGGACATTTTGATCGACCCTCGTACAATTAGTTCGCAAAATTCGCACAAGGTGTCGCTACTGTCGCTGAAAAATGTAAACTGTTTTTTAACCTATTTAACTCTTTAGAAATATAATATATCGATTATATGTTTATTTTATGGTGAACACGGTTTAATAAATCAACATGAGTGCATTAAAATATTTAAAAATAACTTAATAATTACCTTTTTTGTAATTTTCGCACAAATCAAGTAAACTTTGCCCTTCAGCATGGAAGCAAACCACAACAACAAAAGCGCACTTTCTTTCCTTTTAATTTTGACGTCCATATGGCGCATAACCTAAAACTTATTGAAAAACCATCTAATCCAATGTAAATGAAAAAACTTTCCGTATATACTGTTAAACGCAGTGAAAATACAAGCAATGAATTAGTTTTAAGCGTAAATAATCGTGGCGAGTGATAGTTAAAGTACAAAAAATGGAAGGTAAATCAACAGATGTGCATTTAAGGGCTATGCTGAATAGCCCTGCGAGATTCACGCCTGCAGTGCCCACCCCTGACTGGAATTTAACCCCGACTCAACCACAAACAGTAATTTGCGCGAGTTTTAAGGTGATTTGTTCTAATTTTTGTTTTTCAGCCGCAACCATCTGCAACCAATCCTGGCCCCACAAATCCTTCAATTGTCGTTGCGACGCCAGGTTCAGCGCTTGGAGAACCTCACACAAACATAACCTTGCAGTAAGTACAACTTTCTCGATGTATTTGTATGTATTAATGTATTTTTTAGAAATTGTGTGGCTACAGTCGATTTACACACTACATTGGATTTACAGCTGGTAAATGCAAGGACAAGGAATACGGAATACAACCCATCAAGATTTCACGGAGTGATAATGAGAATAAGAGACCCAAGAACAACCGCACTAATTTTTAAAACCGGAAAAATTGTGTGCACAGGAGCAAGAAACGAACACGATGCATTGCTGGCTTCGAAAAAGTTTGCCAGGATCATACAAAAGTTGGGATTTAATGTAGGTTTATGAGATACATTTTTTAATGGTATTGAAATGTGATTTTTTAGATTCAATTTGCCAATTTTAAAGTTCAAAATTTGGTGGCCACTTGTGATCTGAGATTCCCAATCAAGTTGGAGAATTTAAATCAAATGCATGGACAATTCAGCAGGTAATTAATAATTTGAGTAACTCTAAGAAATAGTAAATTCGGGAATTTTCAAACTTTTCTAGTTATGAACCTGAATTGTTCCCTGGATTAGTATACAGGATGATCAAACCTAGAATAGTGCTTCTGATTTTTGTAAATGGAAAAATCGTTTTTACTGGAGCCAAATCAAGACAGGAAATTAAGGATTCTTTAGACAACATTTATCCCATACTAAGAAGTTTCAGAAAAAATTAACTTTTTTAATAAAATCGTTATCACCAACATCTTTTTTATACTTGTAATGTAAACTGCATTTTAAAACATGGAAATCCCTTTTTATTTTTTCTCAAAATTGCAAAGAAATAATTTTGGGAAATCTGGGGCATTTTTTAGGTTTTGGAAGCAGTGGAATTGTTTTTAATTTATTATGCATCATGTTTGAATTTTTTATACTGTACTGATTAAGCAATAAATTGTTATCAATATTTTTGTTTTATCATTGCTTTCAATACTTTCTTATCAAATGTAGAATATTTAGCAATACTAAATAATGCAATAAAGGGTTTTGGTTATAAAATTATGTGGTAGGTACCTAATTAAATTAAAAAACATTCATCAGCATATTGTTTTAAATATATGTAAGCAATAATTTTGATTATAAATTGTGAATATTACGAAAAATAATTTAGTATGTTTGGATGACTTTCAATTCGAAATTTTCGGCGAAAATAACTTGGTAAACAAAAACTATTTTGTAATTAAATGCTTATCTACATTATAATATAGTCACTTATTATACGTGGACCGGACTGGCCCAATTAAACCAAACTATAAATGTTATCAATTTTGAGAAGAAGTACATAAACAAACTAAAAATAAAAAAAAACAAACCTCAGAATTTAAAAGAAAATTATTTGGAACAATTAAAAGTTTGGGGTTTAAGCACAAATTCTTACTTAATAATAATTTTGTTAAAAAAAATAAAAATACATAAATACCGTCCTGAACAAACTGTTTACATATAAATAAATTATATTTTTCACAGTATAACAGTGTTAAATAACTAGTGGTGATATAAGGTAGCTATAATTATATTATTTTTAATACCATTTGTTTTGTAGACTAAAAAAATTGTATTATTTTGAAATCAGAAAATGTATTATTATTTTACAAGTAAACTCATTATCAATAATTTATAAAAACCACTTTTAGAGCGTAATAAAAAATGTATACTTCATTTATACATTTTTAATTTGGTAGGTACTACTATTGTAGTATATTACGGGTACTAGGTACTATACAGAGTGCACCCATATCCTACAAGCTTAAGCTTAGAATCCTATTTGTATACTCGTGTTTTTTTAATATTTGAAGAATTGAAGGTCGGTTATAACCGTGTATCTATCACTGTGATGGATATATGGTTACATCAGAAAAAATTTGCGTAACTACAATTATTTAAAACGTTTTAAAATAAAATTTTAAAATTGCAAATAATATTAAAAAACCCGTCGAAACCAAAAATCGTTATCTTTGTTAACATGTAAACATAAACATTTATCCACATTTTCATCCAATTTTTTTGCTACTTTATTTTGTTTTAAATTTACAATGGCCGCCAAAATTTATAAAAAAAAATTTCTACTGGAGAATCCAGCATAACAAAAATCAAATATTTAAACTTTTTAGTTTTTTCAATATGGCGGATGCGGTATTTCACACCAGATCTGAGGGGGCAGCTTCTGAGGGTCTGAGAGACCAATACGCGGACGGCAAGGCCGCTAAAGTCTGGGAGGTCTTCATTGGAGACAAAAATTCAAGGACGCAAAACTACAAGAACTTTTTGTTTAACCTGTTAAGAAAAAAAGGTTGCAAAAGAATTTTGGACGTAGCCTGCGGCACAGGGTAAACAACAATTTTTTTGTCGTGTATTTATAACAATTATATATATTTTTCTTTTTAGAATCGATTCTGTAATGCTTTTAGAAGAAGGTTTTGAGGTTGTTTCAGTAGATGCTTCAGATAAAATGCTGAAATATGCGCTGAAAGCCAGGTGGAATAGGCGGAAAGAAGCTTCTTTTGATAAATGGAGTAAGTCCAATATTTACATTTTTTTTAAAATACACTCACAGGCAAAATAACCGATCCACACAAATTTTCGATGAATTTCAATAGCAAATAACTTTTTTATTTGATGTCGGATTTACTTAAACGAATAATAAAGAATATTGTAGATAAATTAATGGACAATCGCTCACATTTTAAAAAATAACTAAAAAATAGACGTACGTTTATAAATATAAATAATATACAGGTTTAAACAAAAATATGTTTTTTACCATAAGTTTAAGACACTCTGTAGAGTGGCAAAGCCGTATACGTATATTGTTCTAAATTAAGTTTTATTTATCAAGTCACAACTATTCTTAACAGTTTTGTTTTTGGTTCACCTCGATATATTCATAGTTTCCACAAAAATAAATATATATATTTATTTTTGTGGAAACTATGAATTTTTTTAAAAAACATTGCAATTTCCAATATTTTTCTGTATGAAGAACTAAGGTTGCTATGGTCCATCCATAGGCTATGGAGAATGACAGTGACAGTTTTGTCGAATCATCCCATACTTGGACATGTCATACACGGCTTTTAAAAGCTATCAAATTGTTTTTTGCAAATTAATGTTTAAATTTTGAGGTATCTTCTTACTTTAAAAAATGGATATGTCTCCGAATGATGTTGCCAGATCCATTAATTTAATCCAGGATGGACGGTCACAGTTTTACGTGGCAAGTGTTTTAAACGTCACAAGAAGTAAAGTACAAAGGGCAACATCAGTCGGAGACATTTTTAAAAGTAAGAAGACACCTCAAAATTAACACATTAATTTACAAAAAACAATTTGATAGCTTTTGAAATCTGTATATGACATGTCCAAGTATGGGATGATTCAACAAAACTGTCACTGTCATCCTCCATAGGCTATGGATGGACCATAGCAACCTTAGTTCTTCATACAGAAAAATATTGGAAATTGCAATGTTTTTTAAAAAAATCCATATTTTCTAAAAAAATATATATATCAAGGTGAACCAAAAACAAAACTGTTAAGTTAAAAATAGATGTGACTTAATAATTGAAACTTAATTTAAAACAATATACGGTTTTGCCACTCTACAGAGTGTCTTAAACTTATGGTAAAAAACATATTTTTGTTTAAACCTGTATATTATAAACGTACGTGTATTTTTTAGTAATTTTTAAAATGTGAGCGATTCTCCATTAATGTATCTACAATATTCTTTAATATTTGTTTAAATCCGAAAACAAATAAAAAAGTTATTTGCGATTGAAATTCATCGAAAATTTGTGTGGATCGATTATTTTGCCTGTGAGTGTATTTGTTTGCCCAAATATAACCAACAATGTTAACCATTATTTTTGTCATTTTTCGTGTAAAAAAATGTCTCTATTTTTTTAAAAGGGATTTTATATTTTTTTCTAATTTTTGAAAATAATTACGAAATAAAATCGTACAAAAAAATTCATATTATAAAATAGGCAATAATAAAATATTTTTTTTTAGTTATTGAAGAAGCAAATTGGTTAACCCTATACGATGAAATAGAACAAATAGTTGGAGATGGTTTTGACGCTGTAATCTGCTTGGGAAACTCTTTTGCCCATTTATTAGACCGTTTTGGAGATCAAAGAGAAATTTTGTAAGCATTTTTTATTTTTTTATTAAGTACGTACTTATTATACTCATTATCTTTTCGCGGGGGTCAAGGTTTAAAAGAAAAAAAAATATTTTCATATTTGTTTTTTTCGGTTTGAAAAAGTTAACCTTTCTTTACTGCGGGGTTATCATTATTCTATTAGAAGAAATAAATAAGCCAATCATCGTTAATTCGATAAATTCTATGGATTATAATTATCGAATTAGATGCAATTAAACGTAACTTAACTATAACTAGACACAAGTATAGGCAACTCAAATTACATGATTGCCTATAGACATAAAACATTATTTCAATACATTTTTCGTTCACCTAATAAAATGTGTTTATTTTTAGAAAAGCTTTGAGAAATTTTGAAAAATGCGTTAAACCAGGCGGACTTCTGTTAATCGATCATAGAAACTACGATGATATTATTGAATCTGGAAAAACTGCATCAAAATGCATTTATTATAATGTAGGTGTTTATTACTGAATTAAGAAAAAAATTAAAAAATTTATTTGTAGAGTCCCCATACAGCAGATATTAAAACTTCAGTATTATATGTAAGTGGACAGCCGGCTTTAGTTACTTTAGATTATTTCATAGATACTTCGTCGAAATTTGGAAAATCTGACGAAATAGTGAATGAGGACAACATAAGGTAAAAAACTCCCATAAAAATTAAATTTTCTTAAAAATATTGTTTTTTCCAGTGAATTCAGGTTGTCCTACTATCCACACAAGTTGGAAGTTTTCAAGGATAACTTAAGAAAAACTTTCGGGGAAAACTCCACCTATAAAATCTATGGAGATTTTAAAAGTTTAGAGGAAATTGAAACCCCCAACTTCTACATTCACGTAGTGGAGAAATCTCGCACCTTTTTTTAGTTGTACGAATATTATTTATGTTTTTGTTTTTTAATATATGTAAGTAGGTATTTGTTTTTTGCTGTCTTTCAATTACACCCACATCTAATTTTTAAAATTATTTAATAAGAGTTTGGTTCATGATACTATCATGATATGGTTGCCTATCTAGGGTTTTGTTTATACACTGTATACTGGGTTGCCTGATATCAACACAGAATTTTATGATTTATTTCAAAGTAAATAAAATGCATCCAAAACAAACATTATTAAAATTAACTATTACTTAAAGTAGGTAATGATAAATATGAAAATATTATGCATTATTTTGTTTGCAAATATGACATTGATTTATGTTGCAATACAAATTTTATAAACTAAAAAAAAATAATACTTATCACTTTCCTTTTCAGTAAACTTTATAAATAGTCTGGTTCTAACAACAATAGCCTACCTGTAAAAAAGAAAAAATACATAAACAAAAAATAACCTAAAATGCCATATTTACCTTTTGTGTCCTTGCAAGATTGCATTATAACCAATGTTTAATCCAGATAAATATACAATCACTAACGCACGATCACTTATACAGAAATTAAAAAAAACTTTGTTTACTGCTCCAAACAAGGGCACTAAACAAAACCTGTTGAATAGTATGTTATGTTTTTTGACAGCTATAAAAATGACAATCGCCTCTCCGCGATGTCAAAAACTAAAGTTAGTCTGTTATATTTTAAATTTTGTACCAGGGAAACGTTTAAATTTGTGAATTATTTAATGCCATGGTAATTATTTTATATCGCTGCATTTAAAACATTTTAAAATAACAAAGTGGATGATGCTCGGGATGATGTCAAGAAAACAAATGATAAATTATTTTTCAATATGGCCACGTTTGTCAACATCATCCAAATGAAAAAAGGGATTTAATACGTTATATTGTGCTGTTTGAATATTATAAGAAGAGAAAGGAAGCACGGTAAATATTTTTGATATTACCAAAGTAGAAATTAAATAGCTTTTACGATTTGTTTTACCTTTATAGAGAGATATAAAAGTAGTGGAAAAATTTAAGTTTTTTAAAATTTTTATTTTTCTACACAAAAAGCCTACTATTGTACATGTTTTTGTAACACTAAGTGCACTTCATGTCATGAAGTTCATGATCTTTTAAATACAAATTGAGTAAATTTCATTGCAAGGTGTGACTTAATGGCGTTTTAGTCACGAGCTTTAGTTAGTTGACAGTTGTCAAATGTCATACAATCGTCAAAATAAAGTGCCCTTGTGAAATTATTTTATTGTCTAAATACAAAAATAAAAAACCATTACCCTATATAGTTTCTATACAGGGTGAAGCTTTGAAATATCTCAGTTAGTACCTATGCATTTTACGAAAAAATGTTTAAAATAAAAATTAAATGATTCGAGAGAGGAAATCAATCTGTACTAAAATTGGTCCTCATACTCTCCTCCTTATAGGGGGAACAGGGGGTGACTTTAAAATTTCCAATGGAACACACTATTTTTTATTGCAGATTCGGATCATTTGACTAAAAATAGTTATAACCATTATAAATATTATAGATAAAATCAATAGATTTTATCTATAATATTTGTAATAGATGGCGAGGCAATAAAAAAAATCTATTTTGTTCGATTTTTCTTCTGTATGCGATTCTCCAATAATTTTTTAATAAAATACTTGGTTTTATTTTTTAAATTTTAATTTAAGTAGGTGCTCAAAATGGTGGCCTTCGACTTCCATGCATTTATTAATTTGCATTTCGTTTTAATATTCTGCTAACACTGCTCTGGGATACTCCCAAATCTCTAGATAATTCTCGTATGCTTGCATGAAGATTAGCAGCCGTTGCTGCTAATATATTAATTTCATTATTTCCACCTGTGACTGTTGCTCGACGATTTTTTTTTCGGTTGAACACTCCCGTTTGTAGTAAACTGCTTGACTGTACGGTGAAATGAAGTTCGTGATCGAATTTTATCCGGAAAACGCTGAGCGTAGATATTAACAGCATCATAAATAAATCAAAATCATTTCTATTTTTTCTTCCACTGTGATGAATTATGAATAACTGCTTAACGAAAGGAGGATTTTTTGTTTGCAAATTAATCTTCGAACTATTGATTAAATAATGCTAAATTATAAATAGTTTCTTTATACCTCAAGAATAATTATTTATAACTATAGTTATAGATACCTTTTTTTATACCTCAATTAGGATTAAATTAATTAATTGACAAAATAATGTTTTTTTACCTTAAATGAGCTATTTTTATTAAAAATAGTACAATACTTCTTTAAATTAAAGGATTTAATGCTGGCAGGTAAAAAGTGACCATGGTGCGCAATAATTGATAATTATCACCGAATGAAATTGTAACCAAAGGAAACTTAAATATTAGTTGAAAAATCGTGGGTAAAAATCAGATTTAATTTAATAAGATAATTATTACCAAAAAAAAGTGATATTTTAATAGAAAAATTATTGCAGAATCGTATACAGAGGAAAAATCGAACAAAATTGATTTTTTTCATTACAGCGCCATCTATTACAAATATTGATGAAACGGTTACGGGTTTTACGGTTACGGATATGGTTACGGTTAGCTCTACGGTTACGAATAAATTCACAGTTATTCAAAAAAAAATAACAGAATTACGAAAAGTAAAGTTTATTGTTCAAAATGAAATTAATACACACGTTCCGTAAAGGTTAAATAATTATTTATGTAAAACAAAAACAGAATTTCTAATAAAACTATAAAATAAAAGGAAATGAGTAACATTTTAAACCTAAAAACAGTAAAGTAAAACCTAAGTAGGTACCTGAAAAATGTATTTAAAAAAAATAAAAAAATTAAAATTTAAAATTCAAAATTTACGAGTCAAATTTTTATTTAAAAAAACATAACATCTGCAAATTCTGCGGAATCAGCCTGTTCCTATTTGGTGTTTGCACAAGACCTGCAGTCGAAAACAACCTCTCCGAATTCACTGACAATGGTTTGTATGAAACGTGTAACACGTTTTCCAGAATGTAAACGGATTTGACGTATGTGGTATATTTCGTAACGTTAAATACTCTTCAATCTTCTTTTTACATGCATTCACAAAGTAGCATGAAAAACCGTAAATGCCGTATACGGTTACGGTTAACCGTATAATATCGAAAACCGTGAATTAACCGTAACCGTAACCGTTGCAACACTAATTACAAACATGAAACAATGTTTTAGACAAAATCCACCTATTTTTAGTCGAATGATCCGAATCTGCAATAAGTGTATGTATGTATAAGATTATGAGGACCAATTTTAGTACTGTTTGATTTCCGCCCTCGAATCATTTAATTTTCATTTTAAACATTATATTTTGAAAAACTTTAATATATCGCGACACAATAATAAACTAAAAAAGTTTGACCTTAAATTGAAATATTTTTTAGTTTATGAACATTTCTTTTATGAACACTGTTTAATTTTATCAAAACCCCATTAAAAAGTCTTTTAAAAAAACTTAACAACATCAAAAGTTATTAAGTTGTAAGTCATAAGTTAATATCTCCGAAACTATCATCCCAAAAGGTATAAATGTGCATATTGCTGGAATCACAATTTCATAATCTAACCCAAAAAAAGCATCTCTCATTTCCAACCCTTCCACCCAATTAGCGCCACCTCGATACCCAGCGCGAGCTGGCAAGGGCAGTACCCTTCGCTTATCTCACTATATCATCCTACGAGCGCGCGTGAGCGCGTATACGCGAGTGCACCTCTTCCCATACGCGCGCCCAAGTGGGAGCACCGCGGTCCTACCTGCTCCGACCGAACCGCAGACTGCAGTCTCCGAAACGCAGCATCCGAGTACCGCAACGGTCCGCGTCCAGTAAACACGTAAAGTGCGAAGTGCGAACATGCTGGAGTACGCTGACGAGCTCTCCCATCGACTGGGCTTCACCGATTCCAACAACAATGCAGGGAAAAAAGGCGACAAGTACTCCCTACGACCGCGGTCCATGAGGAGGAACAAAAACTTCGACGATGATTCCGAAGAGATATCGGCGACGAAGGTTACTACTAAAGCTCGCGGTAAAACCAAGCAGAAGGCACCACCCCTCAGCAAGTACAGAAGAAAAACCGCCAACGCCAGGGAAAGAAGCCGCATGCGGGAGATCAACCAAGCCTTTGAAACCCTCCGTAAAGTCGTGCCCCAAATGCAGATAACCCACCAGCAGCAAAACGAGAAGTTGACCAAGATAACCACGTTGAGGCTCGCCATGAAGTACATCTCCACCCTAAGTGCCGCATTAACATCATCTTCGTCTTCAGAAACCACCAGCCAGGACTTCTTCTCCGATTGCAGCGAGCTGGACTGCTTCCTTCTGGAGTCTGACGGGGAGTCCCTGCCACTACACAGTGATTTCAGTGACCATTCCCTCACCCCGGCGGACTTCACGATAGACTTCCCCGAGGACTCCCTAACTCCAGTGGACTTCTCCCCTCTATCGCCCACCCTCTCGGATCACCTGCACTTTGACCCCTTCCTGGGCGATTTCAGCTAAAATTAAGTTAAGTTAAGTTTTCATCACGTCACCTATTTATACCTATTTTATATAGTTTGTACATATAAAGCTTCATTTTTGTATATATAAATATATTTTACCTTAAACCCACAAGTGTTTTATTGTGATATTACAACATATTAGCACTTACGGGTAAGTATAAAATTGATTGTAAACTTTTATGCGTAGTAAAATTAACGTCGTGTTAATTATTACCATTTAATGTCATTTTAAAATAAATACTTAAATTGGTTATTAAACGGACAAATTCTTGAAAACACACGGTAATTTTAGATGGGTTTAAATAAACATCTTAACAAGAATGACATTCATAATGAATGTTATTGTATGATTTCAGTATTTTGTTAACTTTAATTGATACCTATGGACTTAACACTCAATACTCAACTTTCTGCTTTATTTTAAAAATAATAACAATAATTTTAAAAATATTTAGTGCATTTTTAAAATTAATTCACTTACTTTCAAAAAATTGCTCGAGACTTGTCCGTGATACAGTTTCACATCTACAAGTGAATTTATCCAAAATCGAGTTTTTTAATTAGTTTTAATAAAAATATGTCATTTGGCGAGTTTAATTTCACTTCCAAATAAAAAAAATCAATTAAACCAATTACTTTTAAAGAAGCTTAATGGCTTCGCATACCACGGAATTGATTAATTTTAATTAATTACTGATACCCCGGACCATATCAATCAAGTTAACAAAAAAGCATATTGCGTAATAGTTGTAAAAAAATTAAATTAAGAAATTTGGATAAACGACAGTGCCAAACCAGATTTTGTCTATAAACAACATCCTATAATAGGATCAAAATTGAAAAAACGTTTTTTTATATGCAAATATTCAAATTTGTATATGGGTGATTCTACAAAAGTTGGGCAACTTTTGACCTCATTTTGTTTATATAGTTTTTGGAGAAAATTAAACAGTATTTTGTTATGAGAACATAGATAATATAATAAATATACTGTTCCAGACAGGGCCAGTCACTTTTTCAAACAGTTTCTGAAATATCTGTGTTTTCTAAATTTGACGAGTATGCCTGGGTACTAATTAAATACATAATTTATTGCAAAATATAAGATTTATTGCAACTTTGAGCATATTATTCATTAAATATCTTAAAATCAAATAATATCACACATCAGTGGCGGCTGGTGGATTTTGGGTATACCGATATCTCAATTATTAGATATGGGACCCACACCAAATTTATATGAGTTTATAATGACATTAAATAAACAAGTTCTGCGCAAGCAGAATTTAAATTGAAGTTTGCGAAAAAAAGATAACCGAAACATCGAACATGGAACTGACGACACGGAACTGATGAATGGGATACAAATTTGAGATTATAATTCGAAATTAAGTATTTTACTGATATTTTTTAATAGTGGATGCTACTTATCAACAAATCACATAAAGCCTTATATAAATTACAACGATATATATACGTAAGAAAATAACTACTCACCACAGTAATGAAATTTTGACTGGAACTATACGTGCAATCACCACAACTTCGCCGCTTGCATTGTTTTCAAGATGACTGTCCTGCAAATGGCGGGCTCTGTAGTTAACACAGAACTGACGTGTAAAAGTGGGTACAAAGATTATCAATTTTTTTAAAATTGCTATTATTCCAATCTATGATAAAATATGAAAAATACAATATTTAATGTTTTATAGTTTGTAGTGAAATTGAAAAATTTAAGATAAATTAAATATATTTTAAATTAAAATCACTCAAATATTTGATTCAGGAGTTGGGACACGCCAAGGTACTGATGTTTTGCATATTTATTATGTTTTTCTATAATCGTGCTTTTGAAAAAATACATTTAAATTGGGTGGACAAGTTAAAAAAACTGGATCTTTTGTAATATACTAAAATATTTACAAAAAATATTAAAATACCTACTCTATTGACTGATGACATCAAGTTGTCCAACTTTTGTAGAATCACCCATATACGTACAGGGTGTCTATTTATTTGCTCTGGACCTTGAAAATTGCAATTTAATGATACTAAACAAAATACTTTTTAATAGTTTAATTCTTGAGAAAATTAAATTAAAACATTAGTAAAAACTGGAAAACACAAAATAAGAAAGTATAATAAACTAAAAAAGCATAAATGAACAAATTGTTCAACAATAATAAAGCTTTTTAAATTAAATGCAGAAAATGTAACCTCTCATTTAAAATTGCTTGTCTGGTAAACTTATTTTATGTATATTTTTTTATTAAACCTGCCAAATATATAAACATACAATATCTTTACCAAGTACCAGCCATAACTAATTGAACAATTACAATGTTATATCACGTTTTTGTTCTTAATTAAGTTTTCTATGATTCACTATAAAATAGTCTATAAAACAAAGGTTTAAGGTTAATGATCTTTTAATAAAATAATTTGGATATACTTCGCTTAATTTCTAATTTAAAAAATGTAAAGTAAAATAAATTTGAAATTCTAATTGGTTGTGTTAAATAGTAATAATAATAAAATTAATTATTTTAACATCATAAAAATGGTTAGTTTTAATAATAAAGAATTTCGGCATATAATTAGGTCAAAAAACAAAAAGTTGTTTAATTTGGGTATAAACAATTTTCGACTGTTAAATTGGCGCCATGTTTGTAATGTAGTATATTACACACGTGAAGGACAAGGTATTATGTACTTTATTTTTAGTATAATATATGCCTCTAATGAAAAGTAGGCCTACATCGTGTAATGCTTTAATTTAATGGATTTTTTATGTGTTATAAATTATTTTGTTTATCTTTGTCTATATTTGGTGTAAGCAAGTTAACTTTTGTCATCTGAGCAAAGAAAGCAATTTAATTAAGTATATATACAGGGTGTTTTGTTTGCATTTAAAATGTACGTAAGTAGACAAAATCAAATTTAGTTAGTTACTTAGTTTTCATGTCAATAAGTGTCAAACAAAGTGAAACGTCATAATATATTATAGAATTTTCGCGAAAATGAAATGTACATTTTGGAATATTTATTATCTGGCTACAAAATGGGATTAAGACTTTATAAGAAGAATTGATTTTAATAAAATTAAATAAAATAACATTTTTTGGAGATAAATCTTTTTTGTGCATTATGATTTTTACTATATAAAAAAGTGATTTTTGGCTAACCCTGTATAAATCTAATGATGTGCTCAGTATGAAAACAGTATTCTCCAAGTCTCGTTAACAATATACTCCAATATTATAAAAATCGGTGTACAAATGTGTACTCTGTCAAAAATAAGATAAAGAAAAATTTCAAAAAATTTCGAAAATAGGAGCAGCTAGGATTTTGATAAATATCATTTTAAAGTTACCAAAGGGTCCCGAACAAAAAACTGCAATCAATAAAAATCGGTGTACAAATGAATGAATGATTTTTTAACAAATTAAACTTCGTTCAGGCACACCGTGTACAATTAATTTAGAAAATATTAATAATTGTTCCTTTGTAATAAACATTAATAAAAAATAATTTAATAATCATTGTTATCTAACTTCGCTAGTAAATAATAATTTTAAAACTATTCACTTCAGGTATAGGTTAAAATGGATTATAAACGCTTTTAATATTTCAAATCGATATCATTTTCGTTCCCCAGAAACTTCTAATGGAATACGAATGTGAACACTCTGTATACTTTAATAAAAATCAGTAATTTTATTAAAACCACAACTTTTTCAATATATTTCTTACAAGAAAAGTCCTTACACTTTTTTGCTAGGAATGTAGAGGATATGGTATAAATAATAGATTAGATAATATCGTAAAACCTTTACTTGTGATGTAAGGATGCGTTTGAAATTGATTTAAACGCCTTTCCGGCTAATAGCAAGGCAATAAAGAAGGAATAAAACATTTTTTCGGTCATCAATAAAATTTATATCGACAATATTCCGCTGTTGCATTCAGAATTGCAAATTCGCTTCTATTTCGCGGAATAAATTCGTAGCAAATCATTTCTCCGGTTTCGTAATTGAACGCACACATTACGTTTTATTAAATATTGCTTTCTTTTGTATTTATTGACCACTAAACGTCCACTTTCGTTCGAATATACGATACGGTGGTAACCGTTTTTCAGCGATAAATTAGACGAGGCTGCGGCTTAATGGGAAATTACAATTTGTCTGAAATTTAACTGTTTTATAAATATTTCATAAATCGTCATTATTCCAGTCAGTCTGGAAATTGTGCAGCCCATTAGTTCCAAGTGGACTTGTTTGCAAGTAAAAAATACAGCCAACGAAGTTTTTATACCAGAGATGCATTAATTAATATCGTACTGAAGAGACTAAGTATTAATTGATACGATATTTATTGGGGAAATAAACGTTATTAAGAAGATTTAAGGCACTACTTAATATGATGTTATATTGCAAGTTAATGGTGTGATTGCTTTAATAACTTGCTCTTAGACTACCAGGCCGTTCAATGATCCACGGTGTGCCTAAACGAAGTTTAAGTCACATAAAAATGCCGCCAAAAACTGATTGCAGTTTCTTGTTCGGGACCCTTTGGTGACTTAAAAATTATATTTACCAAAATCCTCTTTTCTAAATTTTTTGAAAATTCATGATTTTTTTTAAATTTTTGTTTATCTTAAAGTCTACCTTTGACAGAGTACACATGAGGAGCATCCGTGCAAAACCGGCTATAGCTATATATACCCACTTTAATAAAATGTTGGGAAAATGGCAAAAACTCGGTTTCCTGGCCTTTACAGATAAAAGAAAAAGCAAACTTGAGTTTTGTGGGCTTTGTGGTACTTGATTTATAAGACATACTTTCGTTTCCAAAACTTTATATTAAAGCCAAAATTTAAAAAATGTTTTGGATATAGCCGGTTTTGCTCAAAAACCGAATAAAATGTGAAAAAAAAACCTTTATTATTCAAAAATATTAACAAAATAAATTTAGTGCAAACATGAAAAAAAAAAGAACAAATTTTAGTAGTAGTATCGACATATACAAGTTATCATCATGATGCATTATTATTTATTGGATATAGCCGCGTTTGCTATAAAAACGTGGATTTGGCCGGTTTT